AGTTGCTGAAGAGCTTCTTGTGAGAGTGGGAATCTCCTTTAAGTTTTACATTTATTAAGAGGAAACGAACAACAAACCTTCTTATTTACTATTAAAGGGTGAAAGGGCCCAACTTTTGGACTTACTTTTTAAATGGTAAAATGGATTGTTTAAAGTCTTTTTGTATAAGTATTTTCCTCATTCACTAAAAACATAATAGGTAATTTCCTGTCCTCATAAACACATTCCCATATCAAAATTAATTTCACTTTGTTGTTGGCTTAAAGGGTTGCACTTGCATATGAAAAATATGTCCACAGCGAAAAACCGCACGAATTTCCGCCCGAAAACAGCAAAGAGCAGGAGTTAATTGTTCAAATATTTTCAGAGCACACATGCATCCACCTTTGACCTCCCCACTCGCACCCCCGTTGGCATTCACTCCACTGAAACAATGAAAGTATGCAAGCAAACTCAGGACTCCGCTCTTACCAAAAACTCACTCCAAATAATTTACGAGGCAGTTAAACATCCAACCGTTTTCATTGTTAATTTTCATGGAAAGAAAAAGGGAAAATCGCACTCCTTTGTTGCATTTTTAACACTCTTTGTAGGAAAACAAATTTCAGGAGTGATCAGCAGGGCGTTTTCCATCACATTTCCATCGCTCTTACTTCAAGGCTCAATAAAAATCATCAACAATTCATTTCCAGTTTCATGGCGTTCCCATTTGGCGAATTTTATTTCTCTTTAAGAGTCTCGCGAGGAGAACGATGAAATTCTCCGTCGTAAAATTAAATTTCTCCGCAATTAATTCCGACTTCCCTTCTTCTCTGGGAGAGAAGTTTGTTGGAATTTTTATCGCTGACCCGGAATGACCTTCGCATCGATTTCATGGCCTCCCACTTCCCACCCTCCTCTGTTTGATTTTATTTTCTTTTAATTTATTTATCTTTTTCGTAGTTGCTTCCCTTGAAGTTGATTTTATGCTCCAGCTCACTCCGTCTCCATCTGCTGTCCCTGACTTTAGCCGCCTTCCTTGTCGCCTATTAATTGTGTTTAAATTAGTGCGGGAAAGAGGGGAAAGCTTCGATTTCTGTTTATCTTTCGCAATTTCTACTAAAACTGGAACGAAATTTCTTTGAAATTTATTGCTCCGGAAATTAAAGAAAGTTTGCAAAAGAAAACGACTCTAGGGAAAGTACTAAATAAAAAGCATTGAGATGTTGGACAGTAAAGTGAGATTAATCATGGCTAAACTCAGAGGATATCAATTAAAGCTTTTCATATAAGTCTGGAAACATACCGCATCGAATGAGATATATATTAAACAGTCATAAATATTTATAATCCATTTATTGACCTCCCAAAAGTTCTTCGACAATTGAACTTCACCCCAGAGATCAGGGAATCGTAAAACTCTCTAGGGAAGGGAAGGGCAGTATGAAGTTTTCCAGCAAAAGGATTTTCTATATTATCGCTGCGTTTTCATTGCTGATTTCTATCCCGGGTACATTGAAAATTTACGAGTTTTCACAGCGCATAAATTCTGCGCCGTTTGCCAATTTTTATTATCTGCAAAATACTTTATGCGCATCTGAGGAATACACGGAGAGGGGAGCACCTAATGGATACATGAACCCAAATTGAGACACTTTGCATAGACCAAAGCAATCATCATCCCCTCGACCGAAGTCGGGAAAGTTCTCAGAGGAAGAAGCTCGGCGAATGAGCCAAGAAATAATGATAAAAGGTGAAAAATGCACTTAGCGGAGAGGGAAAAACAGAAACTGCTAAGCGTAACTTATTATAAAGGAAGAAGGAAGCAAAGGGAAGAAGAAAAGAAACTTTCCGTGGAAACTTCAGCTGCATGTGTTGCATACTTTGTGGCGCTCCCAAGAAAGCATGAAAAATGAGCAAAGGGAAAAGGAAAACATTGTGAAATTTCAGCCCCAAGTAAACGGGAAAAACTAATTTTTAATGTCGTAGAAAAAGTTTCTTCCTCCGATTGCGATGCAAAATGTTGTCACTTTGTATCCCGACAGCCAGTATCATCAATCGCTGCTCTCTTTTTTATTTTCGCCAAAGAATCCCTCAAAAGACTTAGGAAATTGGAATATAAGAAATGGAAGCCACAACCTTACCCCAACTCTTTTATACCAATAAATTTTCAATTTCCGCCTCGAAATTTGCAATTTATTTCACTGCAGCAAGGCTAATTTTGCCATCCACTCAGCTCTTTGCTTCTTTGTAAGACACTTTTAGGGAGTTTTCCAAGGTGGACGGTTGGTTCTCCCTGCAGGTTTCCACACAAGCTCACAAGAGTTTATCGAAGGACATAAATAGGACGGCAAATTGCATTGTCTTGTCCCAGGATTGCACTTTATTAGATAAGCAAAATAAAAGGTAAACATCTGCCGGGATTCCCCTGCAATCCTTTGACAAGAAAACAACTGCAAAGTTCGTCCTCAATTTTCCCCCATAAATCACGGCAATTTCCCTCAGAGGGGCTGTCAGCAATTTGATTTGATTTGCAGACTCTGCGAAAATATTTCATAAATATTTACCCACAGTTTTTCCCCCGATTTTTAACACTTTTTCTGGCTTCTCCTCCTTATCGCAGAGCGAGCATTTGCAACTGTGAAAATATTTTCCGCGCTTTCCGTTTGTTTTTCTCCTGTTACTTTGTAGTGCAAATATTTTCCACCATTTTTGCACTTCATTTGCTGGGTGGGCGTGTCCGAGAGGGGCGTGGCTGTTTGCTTTTCTTTGATGTGCTAAATTGGTGCACCGATTGCACTCGGAATGAGATTTGATCGCCTTGAAGTCATGAGGAGTATCCTTTGGTTATGGAAAATAAAAGGATAAGAGACCCTTAGTTTGCATACTTAACTCTCGGATCGGAGATTTTTATTTCTCTTCCCCTTTGGGACAATATCCATTTGGTTTTAACGACTTGCGAGCAAAGTTTCCCGCAGGCAACGCGAATCCTTTTCCCAGTGAAACATTAAACTTTGCCCCATTAGAAAAATAAGGATAACAACAACATGGCGCAGGATGTCAGCAGACAGGCAAGGCAGTCGGGATAATGGCCAAACAAGACATGACAGCAATAAGAGAAAACATTTCCAATAATCCCGAAGAAAAGGTTAAAGGCGCGACATTTCCATAACTTTTCTTTTGTTTTTGGGGCATTTCAAAGGGCAAGTCTTTCTTTGGCATATTTCCAGGGTCTTGGGCCATTATAAGCTTCGAAGCTCAGTTAGCTAATGTTAAACCAAAGCCAAAGGAGTAGAAGAAAGAATATTCTGTGTTTGAATAGGCATCCTACCCATCCACATCCAATTTCCATCCTCCCCCAACCCCTCCTGATATAATTTATCTAATTAACTCATTCAGAGTTTATCCTTCAACACCCCTCCCCTTTCCCACCACTCCCTACCCCCGTTTTAGGCACTTTTCTTCAGATTTCTCTTAGCTCCGTTTGAACTTGGCAAAGGGAATCCTTTACAGCGTCTAATTATGCCACTAGGCTAAAAATGCGAGTTGCGTTGCCTAATTGCAGGCGACTGCCTCGAAGTCGGCTCACGTGGCGTATGCGCAACGCCGTTGAACTTTTCTGTTTCCCCTTTGAGGCGTTGTTTCTTGGCGCCTTATTTTTAATGAAATCAGGCACGTTTCTAAGACATGGGTTAAGCCGAAATGGTAACAGAATTGCTTGCTTGAGAGAGACGGGAATAATGGGCAGACAATTACTTGCCTTGAATTCGGGTGAAAATGTGCCATAACCCTTCACCACAGTTATGCTCTTGTCTCCTGCAATAGGTTTGTGGTTTCTTACAAGAAGAGGAGAACTTCATTCAACCAAAACAACAAATCCGCAATGAGGACGATTTTGTGTTTAATTAAGCTAGAACTGCAAATGGATAAAATCGCTTTCCATTTCCAGAGGGCAGAACAGTCGCTTAGCCATGCAAATTGGATGAGCCGCAGGAAGTCCAAACACCTGAATGGATCCTCGTCCTTCTCATTGCCGACTCCCAGTTCGTTTGCTGTGGTCAGCAATTAAAAATTCAAACTACAGTTGTGTCGCGGGATGCCTTACTAATTCTAATTTCAAACTGTGTAGCTGTGTAGCAAATGTCCCTACGGGACCACAAAGGACACCCCGAGGATGCGGCTCAGCTGCTCTCAATCGTTATGAAAATGCGGTTTGATAATGGAATGAATCTGCTTAGAAATTTACAAGCAAAGTAGATGGGAAAGTGCTCTGAATTAATTGAAATCTCGTTGGAAAGCAATTTCATTCGGACTTAAGTATTCTGCTCAGGTGAACAGGCATCTCTCTGGAAGGTTGCCTAATATCTGCCAAATACACTCCTTAAATGGTGCCAAACACAGCACTAATGAAAAGAAAAAGAATGGAAGTTCAGGTGACAGCTGCTAAAAGTTTTTCAACGACATAACTGCCAAAGGGAAAGGGAGTTGGAAAAGTGTTAACTTTGCAACGGTGTCAAAAACTGCAGGTGCACCGGGAAAACAAGTTCGAAACCATTCCAAAGTTTGTAGCGGACATTAGGAAAAAGGTAAAAATAAAGTTGACAGTCAGCTTGGAATTGTGTCTAAACGTGCTATTGACAGGCCAAAGGTATCAATTGGTGGTAATTAAGTTCAAAGACTTTTAATGCCTGGCTGGACTTTTACAATTTTCCCCCATATTCCAATCTTCCTTCTCACATCTCTCTTCTCTCTCTCTCCGTAACTTTAATCAAATAAAGTTTTTAATATTACATACCTGCTGAAGTGAACTCCTTTAGCTCCATATTTGTTAGTCATTTTCCTAAACCCCTTCGGTTAATTCCCGAATGAAAAAGTGCCTTTACCTTTACCAATAATTTCGAATAATTAATTTACTTATCTGGTTGCTCATCATTTGTCCATAAAGCCGTCAGCACTCAATATTCCTTCATTTCTAATGGCCAATTTCCCTTTCACAAACTATTCCGAGTCGGACTTCAATAATGTTACAACCGAAACGCGAACATCGCTATCGCCAGAGTTTGGCTCAGTTCACCCTGAAAGCGACACTGTATGGATCCTGGGTACTCGGATTGTTTCCATTCACCTTTGACTCTAAGAAAAGGCAGTTAACACGTTCAAAGTGGCTGTTGGTATATGGCCTGATTCTGAACCTAACTTTGATGGTTTTGTCTGTACTACCAGATACAGATGATCACAATTCCATAAAGGTAGAGGTATTCGAGCGTAATCCATTGGTCAAGCAAATCGAAACACTTGTGGAAATTATCAGCATGATAGCCACACTTGTGACCCATCTACGAACCTTCTGGAAAAGTAGGGAACTAGTTGTGATTCTCAATGAACTACTGATGCTGGAGAATCGTCACTTCAAGAAGCTTATCCTAGGAGACTGTCATCTGTTCGACAGATATGTCATAGAAAAAGGACTTGTGATAATCTGTGAGCTAGCTTCTTCTTTTCTGATTTATTTTGGAATACCCGATGGCAGGGTTGTTTATTATGAGGCTTTCTGCATTTACATTGTCCAGCTGGAAGTTCTATTGGTGGTGATGCACTTTCACCTGGCTGTTATCTTCATCTATCGATTTTTGTGGATAATCAATGGACAGCTATTAAGTATGGCTAGTGCGCTCTGAGAAGAGGTGAAAGGGTGGATCCTAAGCGAATCCAACGACTACTTTGGCTTTATGGTCGTCTTTTGGACCTTAACACTCGCCTCGCCGATATCTACGACATTCAGGTTATACTTTTCTTGGCCACTTTGTTGTCGGCCAACATCATTGTGGGCCATGTGCTGGTCATCTGTTGGATCAACATCAATAGGTTCTCGTTGATTGTTATGATCCTGCTGTTTCCACAAGCATTGGTCATCAACTTTTGGGATATTTGGCTGGGCATTGCAACCTGCGATTTGGCTGAAACTACCAGCAGAAAGACATCCACCATCTTGAAGTTATTCAATGATGTACAGAGGGTATGGACAAGGAGTTGGAACAAAGAGTAAGCCAATGTGTCTTTAAGGCTTCTAATAAATTTTAAATATTTTCTTTACTTTCAGTTAACTGAATTTACTTTATTCTGCAGCCATCACAGGCTGACGACTTGCCACCTTGGATTATTTGATATAAACTATGAGATGGGTTTCCACATGATCATAACCAACATTTTATATGTGCTCTTCTTGGTGCAATTTGACTATATGAATTTAAAGTTCAAAACAGATGATTAAGCTTTCTCATAGCGCATAAGATCGATAATAATACACATTTTTCAAATTATTTCTAATTAAAATATTTCATTAGTTGGAAGTACTAACTTTTAAACATATCCTTGGCATCGATAGTACATCACTGAAAATTTAGAAAGAGGATAGCGAATGACCTAACAATCACTATTAATTACTCTAAAAGTGCTTCCGAGCAGTTGACAGCAAAGTTAATAATCCTAAAAGGGTTCATATAGATGGTTAACTTTTAGAGCCATCAGTAAGTTCTTTATTTCCCTACAGTTATTACGTTTCTGTTCATTTTCCCTTTCGTTTTTATTTCATTTCTAATAACATCTAATTAACTACAATACCATTTCATTTATGTCTCGAAGTCGGAAATGTTTAGTACGCGCCGTGAATTTCGTCCTCGATTGGTCAGGCTTTTCCTGTGGTCAACCTTATATGGATCTTGGCTGCTGGGCCTCTTTCCATTTATCTTTGATACCAAAAAATATCAAATGAGGCGCTCCCGTTGGCTAATTCTCTATGGCTTAATTGGGAATTGCTGTCTTATGATTATCTTGCTTTTCTGTGCCCAGGACTTCAGTAAAAGAAAGCTAGAGGGTTTTGAGCGAAATCCTGTGCTGGAGATGATAAACATCTTAGTAGGAATGTTGAGCGTCTTCGCAGCCGTAATAATGCATTTTATGAATTATTGGAAAAGCAAGGAGGTTGAGGAAATTTTCAACGAAATTTTGGTTATGGAACACAAAGACTTTAAGACTTTAAATACAAAGAAGTGCCCGAAATTCGAATGCTTAGTGATTCAAAAGTATGCGACAATGATGGGACAGATTATATCCTTCCTGGCGGTTAACTTCGGAATGAATGGAAGCCACACAAATGCATTTCTAGTAATCCTGAGCTGCCTGCTGCTGACATCTCTCAACGTGAATACAATGCACTATATTTTTGGGATTCTATTTATTTATCGTTATGTTTGGCTGATCAATGGCCAGCTCAAGGACTTGGTTAATCAACTAAGAGTTGATCCCACAACGGACTACTCAAGGATACGTCAATATCTTGCCTTATACAATCGCCTTTTGGAGCTCAGAAAGAAGTTGGTGACCGCCTATCAATACCAAATGGTCATAGTCTTAGCATCAGCGGTTGCCGGCAATATTGTGGTCATCTATTTTTTGATTGTTTATGGTATCACTTTGCAAAAATGTTCAATCTTTCTAATGATCTTTCCTCAGTCTCTGCTCATAAATGTTTGGGACTTTTGGTTGAGCATATCTGCATGTGAACTTACAGAGCAAGCTGGAAGGAAAACCTCAACCATCCTGAAACTATTTAATGATGTGGAGCACACCGATTTGCAGCTAGAAAGAAATGTGAGTACTTCTCTATGTATGTTTTTCTGATTTATAATTTAGTTCAACATATCCGTCCAACAGGTAAACGAATTTGCTTTACTCTGCAGTCACCGCAAATTTGACTTCAAACTTTGTGGAATTTTTTCGATAAACTTCAGCAAGGGTTTTCAAATGATCATAGCCAGTTTTTTATACTTGATTTATTTAGTTCAGTTTGACTATATGAACTTGTAAAATGTATTATTTGAGATTATATGATATTATATCCAGTGCTTATTAAGAAAATATACCTACCAAAAATGAATATTTAATTATGCTTCCCACTTCCTGTTTTCTTTATCTTAAACTGATGTAACTTTCATGTTGTCTTTAGATTACTAACCATTCCATTAGTAACTAGCTTAATTGATTTTTTTGTGGATTTCTGGCAGTTGACGAGGCTTGTCGTGAATAGTTGGTTAGTCGTTTAGCGATGTTCCGAGCTGGTTGTTCTTTTAAACGGAAGTTAGTCTACATTATCCTGAATTCTATCCTATACAGTTCCTGGCTGCTTGGAATTTTTCCATTTAAGTATGAACCGAAACAGAGGAGACTGCTTCGCTGCAAGTGGATAATCCTTTATGGAATTACCCTAAGCTCTGGTCTGCTTTTCCTAATGATAAGACAGAATGGAAATGACCAGGAAAATGGGGTCACGTTGGATGTCTTTCAAAGGAACTTTGTGCTACGTCAAATTAGCTCGCTATTGGGAATAGTCGGAGTGCTGACAATCTGTACGATGTATTTGCGAACATTCTGGAGGAGCAAAAGTCTGGAGGGGATTTACAACGATTTGCTGCTCCTTGAAGTCAAGTACTTTGGCTCTAAGGCTGTGGAATGTCCAAAATTCGATGGCTATGTTATCCAAAAGGCCTTCCTCGTAGTCTCTGGAATGGCGTGCACATGGCTTATCCACTTTGGACTTCCAAATCAAACAATGCCAATAGCAAATGTTTTTGTCGTTTTGTTGGTCAAACTTTGGAACCATACTTTTGGCCATACATTTTCTTCTGGGAGTAGCCTTTATCTACCGTTTTTTATGGTTGATAAACAGGGAACTCCTCGAAATCGTAAGTTCTTTGAGAGCTAATAGGAAGGGTAGCTCAACCAGAGTTCGTTTACTCTTAAAACTCTACAACAAACTTGTGAATCTCTATGGAAAACTAACCGATTGCTATGACTATCAAATGGTTTTAATAATGGCAGTCTTCGTGGTAGCCAACATCATTGTTTGCTTCTATATGATCGTCTACAGGATCAGCTTGAGCCAGATGTCCTTATTCGTAATGCTGATCATGTTTCCCTTGGCAGTGGTCAACAATTTCCTAGATTTCTGGCTAAGTGTTGCTATTTGTGATTTGGTGGAGAGAACTGGAAGGCAAACTTCAATGATTCTCAAGTTATTTAATGATGTTGAGAACATGGATAAAGATCTAGAGAAAAGTGTAAGTAAAAACCATTTAAAAATCAGTGAATTAAAACAAATTTTTTGTGATTTTCCTTTCAGATCTCAGACTTTGCCTTATACTGCAGCCATCGAAGATTTAAATTTCTCCACTGTGGATTATTTCACATAAATCGAGAGATGGGCTTTGAAATGCTGGTCACCAGCGTCCTCTACTTGCTCTTCTTGGTGCAGTTTGATTTTATGAACTTGTAACTCCCCAGGCTGTCAATTAGTGTGAATTTCCTTTAAGGCTGTCACTAAGTTGTCCAGACAGACATGATATGCAATATTAAGCAGGTGACATCATGGCGATAAAAGCTGAATCACTTTCCCTACAGGCAGATGTCGTCGAGTGAATGGAGTGTATGACTTGCAGTTGGGAAATGTAAGGAAAATCGGAACAGGGCCACAGGGCATAAGTTGCAGAAATAAAAGCCAAACTCCTCTGCCATTCCCTCTGACTTAAACGAGGCTATGCAAAAGGCCAAAAGTAAAGCTCACGAAAAACACAAGTCAAAAGCGCCTGAGAAATGGAGTGGCTGTAAAAAGAAGTGCAATTAAGGCCAGCAAATGAACGAGGTTTTTGCCTTTCAGCTGGCCAAGAATGCAGGGATTCCCCTCTTACTATTCTCACACACAAGCAATGGTCTTAACTAGCAAGAAGAGCTTTAGGAGGTTTCTGAGTTTTGTGTACAAAAAATTAACATAATATATAAGAATAATGGACTATAAAGGCAACCTTTTTTTGTGATAGTTTTGAATAATACATGGGCTTACATCTTCTTTATAATTAAATGTTTTGAAAGGTTTGTTAAATATTAAGAACATCCAAATTTAAGTATATTTAAGTATTTCATTGAATTTCTTTTGGCAAACGGACAACCTGCTCTTGATTTATGCCAGAAGTTCTATACATTTTATCTATTATCCGTTTGTCCAGATATCAGCAACATTTAGGCCAGAAAACTACAACTGACAGGCAACAATTAGGCCAACAATGTGAGACCGGATGAAAAAGTCAGACAAAAGATGCCTCACAAACACACACGCCAAACTGGTGGCCTTCGTCCTTGGCATCCTTGGTATCCTTGGCTGTCAGTTACAGGCCTCTGGTCCTTTTTCACCCTCGTCGTGGGAGACCCCCATTATCTTCGATTATCGAGAGCACAAAGCCAGCAGCGATAACAGGGCCCAGCAGCCACACTCGACACAATCGCGTAAATTGATTTTTATTATCCTGGGCCCAGGGATGCTCCCCACCATTCCTCTCCATTCCTCTCCTCACCAACCATCTGCAGCGGCATCCTTGAGTTTCTGGCAAATTTCCTGCTCATCTGCACGGCGGGCAAACAAATATAAACTCGAGTGTACACAAGCATTTGATTTATTGCCCTCGCCCAGGACATCCGCCAATTGTTTGGGCCACGTGGCATCCCCCAGGATCCTTTGGATCCTTTGTTTACCCAATAAAATTCCAGCAGTGAAGTCAGCATTAGGTCAACATTCTGGCTATTGGTGCGACTCGTCAACGTTTACAGATAATTCGGTTCGCTCATCTCGATTTGTGCCAGCTTTCAATATATTTTTATTAAAATGACAGCATCTGGTTATCGCCTCTGCTGAGTGAAGCACATTTTCACGCAGGCAAGAAAGAAAATTCATAAAAATATTCCTTCGTTTTATGATGATTCGCCTTGTCAGCAGGAATAGGCTCGAAACGCGGATTTCGCTTATAGTGATAAGTTCGGTTAAATTCCCTTCCCTACCGATTATTAGATCATCTTGTTTATCGTTTTGTGTTTTATAGTCTCGAATGAAAGCTCTAAATATTTCATTTAGATAATATTAAAATAGAAAAAGTCATTCCAAGTTCTAATTCCTCCTTGTGTCAGCATCTTCTGATACTCCCACTATCTTTTCAAACTTCTTTCCCAGCCAAGTGTAATTAAAGTTTTGCCAAACGAAATTTTCTATAGCTGCAATATTTAGTCAGACATTCCACTAATTGCCCGGCTTTTCTTGGCTTCCTTCCATCGCCTTTTCCTCCATCCGCTAGTTTCAGTTTAGATGGAGACACAAATCGGCTTTGCTCGTCGTTGAATTGTTGTTTAAACTGCCAGCAACTTGCAGCAAATTGGCAATTATTTAATTTCGCCAAACTTTTCTGAGCCGAAACTTTCAAGGAGAGCTCCTCTACCCAGCGATCGGCTTATATAAATTGAGGCCTGGAGGCCAAAATTATAACGCATTGGCAAACTAATTAAGGCAGTCGACTCGAATCAATGGAACAATTGGCGAGCATTTATCGTAATTAGGGGAAAAGGGCTGAGGGTTTCCTTTTTCATTAACTGCTTCCCTTGAAGTTCAAAGCTCTCTCAGTTTACGCCCCACCGACGCGTCGGTCTATCAAATACATTCACCCAATTTGTGGTTGCTGGAAAACATATAAATTTAAATTAAAAATCTTCTTCTGATAAACTTTGACCTTTCATTTACAGCCGTTGGCAATCCTTTTGGGTCATTGGACGGACGTCCTTTACCTAAAGGGAAGGCAACAAAAATAAAAAGTTTCTCCTGCTCCCTAATTACAATAAATGGACAGTCAGCTCAATTTCGTGGCAAGCCTGGCGGCAAATTTTAATTAATTTACTGAACAAATTATAAACTGAGGTGACCTCGATGTCAGAAAAATGTGGAAGGTGATTTTTATCTGATTTAATAAAAGAAACGGTAAACCCTTTTTCAAGCTGGAAAATCTGTCTAGCCTGATTTTACACCTGATCTAACTGCCTGGATTTCATCTTCCAAAAATATACGTGTAGTCATTTGGATAATTTGATAGGTATTACAATTTAATGTAGGTGCCCAATAAAATATGTGTTCGATACCCCGGAGTGATTTTTATGCTCTCATAAAATAATGGCTGGGCAAATAAATATTCCGCCAGACAAAAACAGAATGAGAGCGGAAATTATCGATGAAATTTACGAGCCAAGCTCATGAACATTTTGGCCAACTAATGCGTCCATCAGGATTTTTATGGTGTAAACAAAGCAATGAACAATTTGCGCGCATTCCGGATAAAGCCAATAAATCAAATATATTGGCCAATGCGAAAGGGAGGTGAATGTGGCCCGAAACTTTTTGCTGAGCCAAGTTGTATGGGTAAGGTTAGCTACAAGGAGGGGTGAGGTAGCTTCGCTACGAAGGACTCAGGATAATAAAAATCAATTTACGCACTTTGGCTGTGAGCGACGTATCCTTTGTAGTTGTTTTTATTGTAGCCGTCAATGTCCCCTTCGGCATTGTCTTCCTCCTCTTGACTTCTAATCGAGGCTAATGGAAGTGATTCCAGGGATAAGAGTTGGCCGGGTGGTGGCTGCTCTTGGCCTGGCCTTGACAGCGGTTGCCCTCTGACAATAAGTGGCTAAGGGTCAGATTATCCGCAGCCTCAAGTGTTGATTTTTTAACAGGATTTCATCTTAGCTTTCAGCAGCTTAATTGTAGCTTTCCTGAGGGATTTCATTTCACTCTCGACAGGTTTTAAAAAGTGCTTGCATTTGGATTGGATGACTTAAAGTTAATAATTTTAATACTTTCTTCATTATCAAGAAATTGATTTAATTTCTAAACTTTCTAGTAGTGCTCCACTTTATTCAAGTTATCCCTGCAGCATTTAACCAAGTATAAGCTCTACACAACATCCATTTACCTGAATGGAAATCCGCAACAAAAGCTAAGCCAGAAGCATAATAAATCAGGAAAAACAAGCAGCCAGTAAGGGAAGTGTGGAAACAGCTGGTAAATCGCAGTTGGGGAAATTAGCAGAGCACACACTAAGAATCACATAAGAGCCGAACAAAGAAAATGCACCAAAGCTGCTGTTTTCAGCTTTTCTCTCTCTCCTTTTTCCACAGCCATTGTTCGCCGGAAAATCCAGCTGCATTCTTAGTCAGCCCCCCTCCCAAAAAAAGTACAGAAAGCTGAAAACTCGTTCATTTGTTGGCCTTAATTGCGCTGCTATTCACAGCTACTCCATTTCTCCGAATCCTTTTGACTTGTGCATGTTCTTTCTGGCTTTAGCATGGCCTCTTTCTTTCTTTTTTTTGGGGGTGGAGGAGAAGGCAAATATCTCTCCTTTTTATTGCAAAATTTTTTGCATTTTTCTTGCTGATGTCCTGCGGCCGTGTTCCTGTTCTCTCTGTTGAAAAGTCAACAAGGCTTTCACTTAAACACGACTCCTTGTAAGCTCGGGGACACAGCCCACTTGTTCTTCCACCCTCTTAAGAATCCCCTGACTTCTTGAGCTGTCACTTGTAAGTCCTGCGAGTCTCCCCCCCCTTTCAAGAACACTCTACTCCAGACAACACACGAAAGTGCGAACCAATTAGAGGGACATAATCCAGGGGCGTTTTTAATATGTCTTCTTCACAGGTTCCAAAAATCAAACTGGATGAGAAACAGCAGGTACAGAAAGCTGGTGATGGCCATGCGGAAACCCATCTCGTAGTTAACGTAAAAGAGGCCGCAATGCTGGAATCTCAACCTGCGATGGCTGCAGTAAAGGGCAAAATCAGAGATCTATAAGAGGGAAATCAGTTTATAAAGTTTGATATAATCACAGTAGTTTAACTTACACTTCTCTCCAGTTTCTCCTCTATGTTTTCGATATCATTGAACAGCTTAAGTATGGTGGAGGTTTGCCTTCCAGTTCTTTCTGTTAAATCACAAATCTCAACATTGAGCCAAAAGTCAACCATATTGATAACAAGGGCTTGTATAAAGACCACTATCTTAATATCCAGGTTATTTTTTAGGCTGATAGAGTAGATAATGAAGAAGTAGATGCCCAGAACGTTGGCAATCAGAAAACTGGCCATCACCATGACCATTTGATAGTCGTAAACCGATATCAACCGATTGCTGAGTTTGAAAAGGCGATGATAGAGATTGAGCAAATAGTCAACCCTTTCAGACTTTACCGTTTCTCCATTGGCCAGTTTGTTAACTAGTCTGAGAAGTTCCCTATTTACAGTCCAAACATTTCGATAGACAAAGGCCAGAGCTAGGTGAAAGTGTGAAGCTCCCAAAAGAACAGAGAGTATCATCAAACACAAACTGGTAACTCCTATGAATAGTTGAGCACTGAAAAATAGGCGACATTCCTAGCTCCAGAATCAACATGGATAAAATTTCCAAAACTATCGATAAACCTTTGTACATGACAAAGCTATCGAAGTGACTGCCTTCCTCCACAAAGGAAAAATGACGAAAGTGTCGATGCTGAAGATCCTGCAGTTCATTGAGAAGCTTTTCGATATCGCCGCTTTTCCAGAAACCTCTCAGCAGCATTATTGACACCATCGAAAGACTCTGAATATCGTGGATTCCATTTACCTGCTCAGCCAGTGCATTCCGATGGAACACCTGCATCTTCAATGGCGTTTCGCTCTCCGTGTCGTTGGTAACCACCAGCAGAATCAAAGCCGTATTCAGTATTAAGCCATACGCAATTAACCACTTGGAACGATGCAATTTCCTCGTCCAGCTGTCGTAGGTGAAGGGAAACACGCCCAGGATCCATGAACCATATAGAGCACCCTTCAATGTAAGGCCAGTCAACTTCTGGCGGAAGCCACTATCGCTGGGGCGGAACATCCTGGCCGGAGAATCAACCTCGAATGGTCAAAAGCGGAGTTAACTGACGAGTGCCAGCTGCGATAAGGTTGGTTGGCTGTACAAATGCTTTCCGGCCATAGTGTGGGAATTACTGATGATGGGATTACTTGTATATGACCAACAAACATTTCGCCACCCCTACACTGGGAAAAATCAATTGCATTCAGAACTTCTTTCTTCTTTAAGTTATCCCATTTCTGTATAAAGAATTTTATTTAGAAAGAATTTCTATCGCTTTTCTTTTTATTATTTTAATACATAATCATAAATTTATTTCAGTGTACCTCTACATAACCTTGCCATTGTTAGTGAACAAGTTTTTTATAGGCCAAACAAGTACTTTGTGCACATAATTTTGTGATTAAATCGTTTAATTAATTGGATGGACAGGAAGTTGAAGTTCTGTTGAAGTTTTCCGCCCTCAATTTTCCTCCCACTTAGTTGGGTCATTTCTGATGGCAGCAGGCTCGTAAAAAATAATTTGGAGTGGCCAAAGGGAAACCTGAAAACATCCTTCAGAAGAGCCTCTCTCATTGCAATTCATCTGAAATCTGTGGAAAGCTTTGAGTGCGATAATATCCCCAGCATATTTCACTTCACATCTGGAGAGTTCTTTTCCAGATAAAAGCGGAGTTCGAGTGTTTGACTTGTGGGGTTGAATCCCCTCAAGAGGTTTTCCTTCTCGAAATTTTCTGAAGTTGTGCAAATGAAATTTCGTTCAATTACTGTAGCAGACGACAAGTTTGATGCATCAATGAGCAGCTAAAATATGAGCGAAGAGTCTGATAAGGATAATGGTTGATGTCCAGCCAGGCGTTTAAGTCCTTGAACAAAAAATCATACTTGGACCTTTGATTAATTAGACTCCATTGATGCTTGAGACTTGCCAATGGGTTGGTTATTACCATTCAGGTGCCAGCAAACGTCTGAAGTGTCAGATATCCGATTTTTTTAAACTTATCCCTGTTGGCCGCAACAAACTTTCAAATGCTTTAACTTGTTTTCCCAATGCGGCTGCAGTTTTTGACACTGTTGTAAAGTTAACACTTTTCCAACTCCCTTTCCCTTTGGCAGTTATGTTTGCTGGCAAACTTTTACCAGCTGTCGTCTGAACTTACATTTTTTATGCGCTGTTTTTTTGGCACCTTTTAAAACTGTTTTTGGCAGATAACAGGCAGTTATCCCTTAAATCAACCAGAAGTGAATGATAAAGTCCGAATGAAATTGCTTTTCAACGAGATTTCAATTAATTCAGAGCACTTTCCCATCTACTTTGCTTGTAAATTTCTAAGCAGATTCATTCCATTATTAAACCGCATTTTCATAACAATTGAGAGCAGCTGAGCCGCATCCTCGGGGTGTCCTTTGTGGTCCTTTGGGGACATTCGCTTTACAGCTACACAGTTTGCAATTAGAATTAGTAAGGCATTCCTCGTTACAACTGTAGTTTGAATTTTTAATTGCTGACCACAGCAAACGAACTGGGAGTCAACAATGAGAAGGACGAGGATCCATTCAGGTGTTTGGACTTCCTGCGGCTCATCCAATTTGCATGGCTAAGCGACTGTTCTGCCCTCTGAAAATGGAAAGCGACTTTACCCATTTGCAGTTCGAGCTTAATTAAACACAAAATCGTCCTCATTGCGGATTTGTTGTTTTGGTTGAATGAAGTTCTCCTCTTCTTGTAAGAAACCACAAACCTATTGCAGGAGACAAGGACATAAATGTGGTGAAGGGTTATTGCACATTCTCACCCGAATTCAAGGGCAAGTAATTGTCTGCCCATCATTCCTGTCTCTCTCTCTCTTAAGAGCTGATTAAACGCGGAGTTAAAGCGTCAAGCAAGCAATTCTGTTACCATTTTGGCTTAACCCATGTCTTAGAAACGTGCCTGATTTCATTAAAAATATAGCGCCATGAAACAACGCCTCAAAGGGGAAACAGAAAAGTTCAACGGCGTTGCGCATACGCCACGTGAGCCGACTTCGAGGCAGTCGCCTGCAATTAGGCAACGCAACTCGCATTTTTAGCCTACTGGCATAATTAGAGGCTGTAAAGGATTCCCTTTGCCAAGTTCAAACGGAGCTAAGAGAAATCTGAAGAAAAGTGCCTAAAAAGGGGAATGGGAGGGGTGGGAAAGGGGAGGGGTGTTGAAGGATAAACTCTGAATGAGTTAATTAGACAAATTATATCAGGCGTGGTTGGGAGAGGATCCAAATTGAATGTGGATGGGTAGAACGCCTATTCAAACACAGAATATTTTTTCTTTGGCTTTGGTTAAACATTAGCTAACTGAGCTTCGAAGGTTATAATGGCCCAAGACCCTGGAAATATGCCAAAGAAAGACTTGCCCTTTTGAAATGCCCCAAAAACAAAAGAAAATGTTATGGAAATGTCGCGCCTTTAACCTTTTCCTCGGGATTATTGGAAATGTTTTCTCTCATTGCTGTCATGTCTTGTTTGGCCATTATCCCGACTGCCTTTCCTGTCTGCTGACATCCTGCGCCATGTTGTTGTTATCCTTATTTTCCTGATGGGGCAAAGTTTAATGTTTCACTGGGAAAAGGATTCGCGTTGCCTGCGGGAAACTTTGCTCGCAAGTCGTTAAAACCAAATGGATATTGTCCCAAAGGGGAAGAGAAATAAAAATCCCCGATCCGAGAGTTAAGTATGCAAACTAAGGGGCTCTCATCCTTTTATTTTCCATAATCAAAGCTAACTTCTCATGACTTCAAGGCGATCAAATCTCATTTCGAATGCAATCGGTGCACCAATTTAGCACATCAAAGAAAAACAAACAGCAACGTCCCTCTCGGACACGCCCACCCAGCAAATGAAGTGCAAAAATGGTGGAAAATATTTGCACTACAAAGTAGCAGGAGAAAAACAAACGGAAAGCGCGGAAAATATTTTCACAGTTGCAAATGCTCGCCCTGCGATAAGGAGGAGAGCCAGAAAAAGTGTTAGAAATCGGGGGAAAAACTGTGGGTAAATATTTATGAAATATTTTTGGAGAGTCTGCAAATCAAATCAAATTGCTGACAGCCCCACTGAGGGAAAACGCCGTGATTTATGGGGGAAAATTGAGGACGAACTTTGCAGTTGTTTTCTTGTCAAAGGATTGCAGGGGATTCCAGGCAGATGTTTACCTTTTATTTTGCTTATCTAATAAAGTGCAATCCTAGGACAAGACAATGCAATTTGCCGTCGTATTTATGTCCTTCGATAAACTCTTGTGAGCTAGTGTGGAAACCTGCAGGGAGAACCAACCATCGACCTTGGAAAACTCCCTGAAAGTGTCTTACAAAGAAGCAAAGAGCTGAGTGGATGGCAAAATTAGCTTTGCTGCAGTGAAATAAATTGCAAATTTCGAGGCGGAAATTGAAAATTTATTGGTATAAGAAAGTTGGGGTAACGTTGTGGCTTCCACTTCTTGTCTTCCAATTTCCTAAGCCTTTTGAGGGATTCTTTGGCGGAAATAAAAAAGAGAGCAGCGATTGATGATCCTGGCTGTCGGGATACAAAGTGACAACATTTTGCATCGCAATCGGAGGAAGAAACTTTTCCTACGACATTAAAAATTAGTTTTTCCCGTTTACTTGGGGCTGAAATTTCAGAATGCTTTCCTTTTCCCTTTGCTCATTTTTCATGCTTTCTTGGGAGCGCCACAAAGTATGCAACACATGCAGCTGAAGTTTCCACGGAAAGTTTTCTTTTCTTCTTCCCTTTGGTCTCTTCTTCCTTTATAATAAGTTACGCTTAGCATTTTCTGTTTTTCCCTCTCCGCTAAGAGCATTTTTCACCTTTTATCATTATTTCTTGGCTCATTCGCCGAGCTTCTCCCTCGGAGAACTTTCCCGACTTCGGTCGAGGGGATGATGATTGCTTTGGTCTATGCAAAGTGTCTCAATTTGGGTTCATGTATCCATTAGGTGCTCCCCTCTCAGTGTATTCCTCAGATGCGCATAAAGTATTTTGCAGATAATAAAAATTGGCAAACGGCGCAGAATTTATGCGCTGTGAAAACTCGTAAATTTTCAATGTGCCCGGGATAAAAATCAGCAATGAAAACGCAGCGACAATATAGAAAATCCTCTTGCTGGAAAACTTCAGACTGCCCTTCCCTTCCCTAGAAAGTTTTACGATTCCCTGATCTCTGGGGTGAAGTTCAATTGGCGAAGAACTTTTGGAAGGTCAATAAATGGATTATAAATATTTATGACTATTTAATATATATCTCATTCGATGCGATATGTTTCCTGACTTATATGAAAAGCCTTAATTGATATTCCCAGAGTTAAACCATGATTAATCTCGCTTAACTGTCCAACATCTCAATGCTTTTCATTTAGTACTTTCCCTAGAGTCGTTTTCTTTTGCAAACTTTCTTTAATTTCCGGAGCAATAAATTTCAAAGAAAATTCATTCCAGTTTTAGTGGCAATTGCTAAAGATAAACAGAAATCGAAGCTTTCCCCTCTTCCCCGCACTAATTTAAACACAATTAATAGGCGACAAGGAAGGCGGCTAAAGTCAGGGACAGAAGATGGAGACGGAGTGAGCTGGAGCATAAAATCAACTTCAAGGGAAGCAACTACGAAAAAGATAAATAAATTAAAAGAAAATAAAATCAAACAGAGGAGGGTGGGAAGTGGGAGGCCATGAAATCGATGCTAAGGTCATTCCGGGTCAGCGATAAAAATTCCAACAAACTTCTCTCCGAGAGAAGAAGGGAAGTCGGAATTAATTGCGGAGAAATTTAATTTTACGACGGAGAATTTCATCGTTCTCCTCGCGAGACTCTTAAAGAGGAATAAAATTCGCCAAATGGGAACGCCATGAAACTGGAAATGAATTGTTGATGATTTTTATTGAGCCTTGAAGTAAGAGCGATGAAAATGTGATGGAAAACGCCCTGCTGATCACTCCTGAAATTTGTTTTCCTACAAAGAGTGTTAAAAATGCAACAAAGGAGTGCGA